AAAAAAATATAGCAGGACGTGAGTGTGCGTGATTTAAAAATCCATCAACGTGAGCGTGCGTGAACGTGAGTCAAAATTACTCACGTGCCCATCTCTAGTTGGCATTCGTTCTGCAGGTTGACGTTTTTAACGTTATTTGGACGTTTTTTGTATCCTGTTGACGTTTGGACGTTTTTTGTGTAAAAAATGACTTTTTTAACTTCCCAGTAATTTTCGTCTCGCACGTTTAATAATGTAACGAAGTATTTAAAAATTTCAATTTTGTCGGATAACGCAATCAATTCATACAGGTGATATACAAAAAGACAGATGGAAAGACATATCTTCGCTATATTTGGGAACGTTGGTTATCTATTATACTGAACATATTTTGAGTTACATCTCTATATTATTAAACGTGCGATATATTCAATGTATAGCGTACTATTTGTTTGTAGAGTAAATACTTCCGCTCACACTTTCGACAAATTTGTTACTAAATCTCGTAAGTAGAACTGATTTTGAATTATTTTCTTAATAAATCTTTACAAGCTTTGCTTTTTGCACCAGTTGCTTCAAAACATATTTACTGTTTGGACACAGATGACTTAAATATGATGCAAACCAAGCGTACGCGCATTTTTTTTTATTCTTCGACTAAGGATCAAAGGCTGGTTGTGTAAACACTTGAGGTTACGAGGCTTATTGCAATGTTTGCAATTGCACTTTAAAAGCCAAATCAGGAAGAGCTGATCTATTGCAACACGCACGCTCGCAAAAGTACCAAAAAAGCTCTAGCAGCGTAAAAAGTTAGAAAAAAGTAGGCGATTTTTTTAAGACTTCATTGAAAATATAATAAAAATCAACGCGATTCTTTAGCAAATTAAAACTTGCACATTCTTGCCCTGAAATTGATGGGATATCAAACTGCATATTCAAAAACATTCTAAAAGATCTGAATAGAAAGTCGAAAATCTAGCTGAAACTTTGCAGATTTTTAAAATTTTTGCACAAAGTCTGAAATGTGGATTTATATTGTGTTTGTTATATAATGAGATAGGCTTTTATGGACAAATAATAAACATTAAATAAACAAAAGAAAAACAACCAAAATCGATCAAAATGTTGATGACTTAATCAGCTGATCACAAGTGTATGTATTAAATGATTTTTATATTAACAACCTCAAATCAGTTTACAATAGTGGTATTCACCGAATTGAGCAATTCTAATGAATGCGATTCTAATGAATTTTAAATGTACTCTGTCGAAATGCCATTTTAATATACCTTACGTACATATGTATGTACCTTTGTATACAATAAAAGTTTAATACGAACAATTCTGTGTGCATACATTTGGAAAAGACGTTTTTGGGTAGGAAATGACGTTTTTTCAGACCAAGAGGGACGTTTTCTCATGCCAAAGACCTGGCAACACTGGCTATATGGACGGCTGCATTTGAACTCGTGTATTCATAGTCACCTGGTGAAGCGACGCCAGCACCAACGCAACGCCAAAGCTGTACATAGATGGGCCTTTATTATTTTTTGAATGCACTAACGTTGCAGTGTATGCTGAGACTTCACATTGACCTAGATCTGGGGATGCAATACACTGGGGAACAAATTCAGGTTAGCAAAAGTTAAGTCGATTCTGAGAGTGAGGGCTGAAAATAGTGGCTAAATTAGTTTGTTTATGTTTGTTCGAATTTTTTTTTAATCGATCTTCGAACTTTGCAGTCAAATGCCGATTTTCAGCATATTGTTTATATGGTTTTTTGGCTATAACTCGTTGACTAATTGATAATTTTTCAATCTGTTAAAGCCAAATTATTGCTAGAGACCTGTGCAACAACTAAAATTAAAAAAAAAAATTGATTTAGAAAATTTTTGTAGTGCTTATGAAGCAAAATGTTGGATTTTTTTCATGCTTTTTGAACTTATTTTCCACAAAACTAAGTCTTTTTTGCTTTCTGTTTGATCTATAATATGCTTCTCAGTTTCGTCAATAAATTTCATTTGAAAAGAAAACAATCATAATACAAAACTTGCGTTTCCAGCTTAATATTAACTTACTTCTCATTTCTTATGTACCAATTTTTTCAGTGTAGGTTTTGAAGAAACATTGAAAAAGAAATTATAAAAACATGGAAAAAAATATAATTTTGATATGTTAGTTATGAAAAATTTTAAGTAAAACAATTAAATAAATTAAATTAATGATTTGGCCAGTTGCCGTTTAGCAGGCGGCTGTGGACCAACATCACTGCTCTCTCTAATATCTTGGTCATCGTCATCATCATCAGAAAGGTCGATAATTTCGTCCCACAGATATTCTGGAATTTCATCTTTGTCTTCCCCTTCTCCCTTAGCCTCTATTTTCACCCCTCACTCTCAGAATCGACCTAACTTTTGCTAACCTAAATTTGTTCCACAGTGTTATCAAAGTGTTCAAATAAGCAAATCAAAGCCCAGAAGCGTTGTGTGGACTTACTTCAATAAAATTTCATCGACAGAACCGGAATTCAAAATTAGTCGCAAATACAATACATTCATGTCGAAACAGATTGCAAGGAACAATACTGTCCAAATTATTATTCCTGAATTCTTTATAAAATGAGAGACAATCCATGGATGTTATTTTGAACGATGCATCGAAAAACCGATGTTTTATTTAAACAAAAAAAAATCGATGTTCCCTACCTAGAACACATGCACCAAGAATTTATATGTATATTTACAGTGATACTTTTTCTATTATCGGGAAAGTATATGTACACAGATTGCCCATTTATGGCGGTCATGGCGTATGCTAAGTAAAACAAAACAACAGTGAATTTGTTAACATTCAACTTTTTGATAAGAAACATGGTTCAGTTTTGTTAAATTGCAAAAATATATGATTTATAAAAAGAAAAAAGGTTAAAACACGTTGGCTCGCGGGAACGAGTTGTTTAATTTTACTCGATAATTGTCAAAATCAAAGTAGCGGTACCATTCACGATGCAGAGAACAAAAGTGGCGCATCCCGCAAACCGAAACTTTAAATGTACTGAAATGGACCAATTCTTTTACAAAAAATCACCATTTTTCACATTTTCTTTATTAATTCTTTTTATAAATCATATACATATTTTTATAATTTAACACAATTAATCCACACATGGACGTAGCCAGGTAGGGGCCGGGGCGGGGCCCGGGCCCCCCTTAACTTCCAAATTTTTGCCTAGGTATTCAAAAATAGTTCCACGAAATGCTTGCTTGATAATTTCGGCCCCCCTAACTTTCAAGGTTTTTTCTATATATATACTGCATAACAAATTATACTCCCAACGCTAACAAAATAATTAGTAAATTGATTTAAAAAGTGGATATGTGGATCATCCGGTTCTGTATCAAGTTATTCTCTCTAACTTCAAAGCACTTCCATTTAAAAAGGGTAAACACCTGGCTGCAGTCGACAATGACCAAAAATTGTTTAATTGTTTATTACTTTGTCTTTAAGTTTGTGTCTTTTCTAAGCGTACAACGAAAGATTTGTATCACAGATTATTGAGATTATTGATAAAACTATAGACCGGTTGGGTGATCAGCCAAGACGTTTACTTCTTAAGTGTGACAAAACAAAATCAAGTAATACATATATTTAGCATAAATGAATATACCAGCATAAAAAATCTGCATACTCAAAATGTTCAATACGTCCTCATATTTATACCATACCTATGTATATAATTTAAGAGAAGATATTTCGCTGCAAAGCAATGATTATAAATTGTTAGTTTACCTTTCCAAGGAGGAATATTACAGAGTATACGGAAAAAGTTTATTTTTTTATATTTTTTATTTTGAATAACGTCTGGCCCGGCTATTTGGTTTACTATACAGGTATGTAGAGAGCTATGAATTTAAAAAATACATCAGGGTTTAGTAGAGATATTCACTTTTGACCACTATGTTTTGTACATTTCCGAGTACTGAAAAGCTTTTGACTGCCATTCAACTGGGAGTGGCCCGCGTGCGCTGGGTTTGGGTCCCGTCAAGTTAAAACCTTGCCCAATGGAAAAAAACACATGCCTCGGGTGATACCCCCTTCTTTTGATGACGATCACGGCAGATATAGCAAGGACTATGATTTTAGGGTATGCACTTGGAATATCCGAACCCTTAATCGGGATGGTGCCTCTGCCCGGCTGGTTGATGTCGTAGGGAAAAATAAAGGCTGAAATCACCGCCATCCACGAAATGCGATGGATGGGGCGAGGAAGGTAAGCGTGGAGCCTTGCGACGTCTACTACAGTTGCCTCGTAAAGGAGTGCAATTCGGTGTTGGATTTGTGGTGGGAGAGAGACCGGCGTTCACTCTAGTGGACGAAAGTCTAGCCACAATTCGCACCAAAGCGAGATTCTTCAACATCTCATTCATATGTGCCAATGCCCCGATGGAATAGAAGGACGAGGCTTTGGCGGTTACAGAGCCAAATAAGAAGAAGAAGAAGAGAATAGATCTATAACTTTATCAGTCACACAGTGTTATAATCCCGACGAAATCCTTGACGGTGGTACCAGGAGGGGAACGGTACATGACGGTAGGAAGTTTTGTTTGGGTTAAAGTCTCACACTGACGAGGTTAGGCTTTCGATACTTCCTCCTCGTAAAATAAACATGCTCAGTAAAAAGTTAACAATTTAAATCGACGAATAGTTTTATATCAACTTTTGTGAACTTCTGTTTATTTGTTTTTTGTACAACATATTTACCTCTATTGGCTACAATAATTTTAAGCTATAATAAGCAATTTTTTAGTAAGTAAGTTATTGGTTTTGATTTTTTTTGTAGGGCCGCCCCTCTCCCCCCCTAAATTTCGTTCTGGCTACGCCCATGAATCAACATATCCTATCGCGAAATTTAATATTAAGAAAATTAACAGTTTGACAGTTTATTTTATCCCTTTATTCGGCTTTGTTTACCTTTGCGCAATCTTGTATTCTATGACCTCTGCATCGCACTAAACACATACCTGTACGATCTTTCATTATGCTTTGTGCATAAGCATTCAGTATAATGGGCATTTCATCGAACTTTAAACGACTATCCAAATTGTTGTAGCTAAAAATGGTTAAGTTTGGGTTGGACGCAGTCATTTGCGAAATGCGTTTGTATTGGCGCACATGCATTATGGCAGCCGACCATTTTTGCCCCTCGATAAGTTCTTGTAGTGTTACTTCGAATTCCTCGCTAGTCATGGGTATGCCTGGCGAAGGAGTGGGAGTGTGTTCGCCTTCGGTGGATGTCGATGCTGCCTCGAAACATTCGAGCTCCGCCTCACTGACGCTGCGTACCAAGGCGTCGCGCACTAATGCATATAAATCGGATATGTCGTGCATCTGTAAGCAGTTGCAAATCAAATGATATCACCTCACAGATAAATACATGTTTTGTTCAAATCTATCCGGATGCTCACCTTTTCGTTGATTCTGAAATGATTAACAACATTGGAGGATATTTTGTGGTTTGACTCGATTAGAAGCAGTAATTGAAACATCAATTTATATAATGCGCGACCCAGATCTAGTACCACTTCGGAGGAGGCCGGGTCGAAGGTCATGTAACCAATATTGGTGCTACTTGTCAACTCCATACTAGATGCAGCCACATCCGCTTCATTGAAGAGTGACAATTTGCATGACGTTTTAACAGCGTCGAGGCACTAGAAGCAAGTAACTTCCATTGGAATTGTAATTATTTAAAATATGTATATAGTTTCCACTCACCTCCAACACTTGATCCTTGCGGTCGAAGAAAGTCTCCAAGTGCTCCTGCACTTCTAACACATTAAATCGCAGTGTTTCAAATAGCCGGGGTGTAGTTGTCTGCGTATCACTACACCATACGCGTGGTGGATCAGCGCGCGAGCTAAGTAGATCAGTGAATAGCGATATGCGATTGCCTAGTTGCGAACCAATGCCGGTGAAGAATTTCTTTGCCTCCTTTGATATGCTAATCGTCTTGAAAGTCAGCTCTTTTATAAGTCGATAAAGCTGCATTAGAAGCTCAGATGTATGCGCCGAGGGCTGATTGATCAACATCGACTGTAGCTGCTTGCGCCAGTTCTCCTCAGCTTCATCGCGTATGGGTGCACCGAAGCGTATAATACCTGGCAAATGAGGCGACGCATTACACGGTGTTATGTCACCCAAGTCGCCTGCACTGGAACCACTTGTATCGCTGCGAGAAACAGAGTTACGACGACGCCGTTCACGTAGGCTTAGGGAGGTGGGAGGACCCACGTTGTACGCCGACTTCATGAACGCCTGGCGATGGTCTTCGTCAATAGGCGATTCCGATTCGCCATCCTCGTCAGATGAATCGTCTGCAGTTTGTCGACGTCTTTTGCTTAATATAGGTGTCTTCTCACTGAAGCTGTCCTCGAGCGCAGATGAATGACCACCTTTGATCGAACCACCGCCGATACCGCTGCCACAGGTCAAGCGCTCTTCCTCACCTTCGAATAGCTGATGACGTCTTACGCCCCAATTGAAGTTGTCTGTCGACTCGCCGGCAATGCTATCCTCGTATTCAAGAAAATCAAAGTCTTTGAAGACGGTAAAATCAGGCTGGCCATCATCACGGCGCGAGCCACTACTCAGATCACCCTGCGGACCAGAGGTCTCTTCCGTAGAAGATGCAGCGGAAGATTGGCGTTCCATAAGATCGGATGATTGGCTGAAAATCACCTGCACGGAAAGAAACAAAAATTTATAAGATGATTTTTGTAAAAAACGTCTTTTACTTTCAACACAAAGAGAAAAGTTGCAGATACAAATGCGCAGGTGCATATGTATATATGTGAAGCCTCCTTTGCGCAATTAAAGCAATGGAAATTATTTCACAAATATTTTTAAGACAGCAAAATTAAATTAAAGACGAAAACGAACGCTTACGCTTTGTCTGGTTACAATGGATCCCGTTAAGATCGATGTGCTCAGAGACTGCTATTTGCAGTAATTGGGGAAAGTGTAAGCAAAGATGAGTACAACAAAAACGAAAATAGAAACGCAAAAATCATGTTTAAATTTAATTAAAATATTTCAGACAAAAATCAAGTAATATTCGACTCGTAAGCGTGGGCAAATTAAATAATGCATATGTATATGTACATTAAAGTGGTCCAAAAATATATGTAAAAAAATAAGGTCGGATTTTTAATGCCGCCACCCCCTAGGATTATTATATACCGAAAAAAATATTCAGGGAGTGCTCCAAGGCGAATTAATATAAGGTGATAGCAGGAGTACAAAAACAAAAATCTAAATGTATTTTGTTTTTGCTTTGGCGGCATAAACTGTCAAAATCTGTAAGAGCGTGTGTAGAAATTCAAACAAAATTTTTCAATTTGATAGCAGAAGCCATGCGGCGAAACACATACACAAAATCAGCTGAGCTAGTAACACCACCTTATATTAATTCGCCTTTGAGTGTTCAAAGCGCTCAAAGTTTTCCATGTATTTTATATGGAGAAAAACAATTTTTCGTAAAAATGGTATAAAACTCTTGAAAATCTATATTTTTCGACCGGAAAACTGTGGTTCTCTTCAGGAGACTTCCAGTATTAATATCCAATTGTTTATTGAAGTGTTAGATATATTCTACTTTATAGAAAATGCTAAAAATTACCCAAATATGTAACATAGTGCAATGGGCTATAGTCGTTGCTCTGGGTATGCAGCTGTAACTGCATGGCTATACTCAATCCCGACTCTTGTGTCCTCGTTCGCGCACTCTGGCAACGTGAGCAACCCATGTGCGAGATGCGGTAACCAATCCGAGTGGAGCCTTGGGCCACGGCAGAAAGAGAAGGAGCTTCGGTGGGGCCACTCCGACTTATTCGGTTTAAGGGCTCACTGAAGTCTGCAGCGTCTGTTTACCAGTAGGTGCGGCTGCAAGCGGGTGTCTGTTTGGAGAAAGCGGCTCGCATTATAAACGAGTATTTGGTGGCGAAACCACCCCCGTCCCAGCAATGGGTTGTGCGTTGGGTTTAGGACCCGCCACGTAAGAACCACTTGAAGTGAAGAAGCAAGGCAAAGCCTCGGAAGACTCCGTCGCCGAGTACTGTCGTTCACCCCGGTGGACGAGAGTCTAGCCACAATACGCATGAAAGCGAGATTCTTCAACATCTCGCTCATCTGCGCCCATGCCCCGACGGAAGAGAAGGATGAGGCATCCAAGGATATCCTCTATGAGCGCTTGGAGCGCACGTACGAGCGCTGCCCCCGTCATTATAACAAAATCGTGCTTGGCGACTTCAATGCCAGGGTGGGCATGGAAGGGATCTTTGGAACCACCGTTGGAAAATTCAGCCTCTACTACGAAACGTCCGACAACGGATTGAGGCTGATCGACCTCGCCGGGGCCCGAAACATGGTAGTATGCAGTACTAAATTTTCTGCCTTCAAATGGAAGAATGTGAATGAATGAATGGAAAACATTCAAATCATTCAAACCCATTTCGGTTAAAGGTTTTTTCTACAAACAAATTTGTTTGTATTGTAATAGGTGCGCAGCAATACATACATACATACACACGTATGTTTGTGCATGTGTACATAGAAAAAAAATTTTTGGATATTCATACAAAAAATTGCATTTATTTCAATTCAATTTATTTTCACTTCGTGTGAATATTGTAATAGACACATATATCAGAACAGGTATTTACTCATATTCAAAAAAATGTGAAGCCAAAATCATTAATTCGTTTTGTATATGAATAATTCACAAGCCGTTTTGAACGAATTCATGCAGCCCTCTAGTTCATATTAATTGGTTATTTCACTTGTGAAAGGTAGCCGATGAATTCACTAGGCCGATTCTAGAGACTCCTGAACGGTGAAGAACAATATTACTGATAATCTGGTAGAATTGATGACTTCACTAGTTCCGCACTGCTGCTTCGTATTGAACGTTCGCTGCGTTACCTAGGTTACAGCCGTATTATTAAAACTTATAGTGAGAAAGCTGGTGAATGGTAATGTAGAAGTGCTACGGTTGCCAGACGTACTGATTTTATCACTACAGTACTGACTTTTCAACTCTTGTACTGATTTTATTCATTTCTGCAATCAGTACGCTAATGTCCTGATTTTTCAACTTGTACTGATTTCTACAGAGTTTTCCATTCAAACAAAATACTTTAGGATTTTCTTAAGGTTTATACATAACGTTGGAACTTATTTAAACTTACTTTAAAAAGTAAGAAGAAAATAATTTAATTATAGTGGGTATGTTTCAGATAATGTTGTATATGCCCAAGAAATTAATACAACAAAGAGTTCAATCGTTTTATGGGCATATCGCCGGGACATTACGTACCAGTTGCGATATTATGGAGCTTACATTGTTAAAAAAAGGCTGACCTTTTTGTCGAGTGTTGTTAGTTATCTCGAAAATAACTGTCGGTTTAATAACAACAAATCTTTTTTCACAATTTACTGACATTCTTAAAGGGTTTTGCATACAAGACATAGAGTTGGATACTCTTTTTAGTGAATTATTAGTCTTTCAAAGGAATTATGATGAAGGAAGGATGAAGAATTATAGATGAAGTCCTTAAATAGTGGTACTTTTGAAAAAAACGAACAGTCCAGCGCCTTTATCTTGGTCTGCAGGCTGTATTGGAGATACAGCCGCTAAATTTAAACGTAGAACACTTGGTATGGTTAAGAGCATATCCGAGTAAAAGCACTAAGAAAAAAATATCGATAACAAAAGCGATAATAATACCGATAGCAAAATCGATGAAAATATCGATATCGATAACAAAATCGATAAAAGTATCGACAACAGAATCGATAGCAAAGTCGATAACAACATCGATTACAAAATTTATCAAAAGAATCTATTACAAAATCGATGACAAAATCGATAAAAATATCGATCGAAGATCGTTAACACAATCAATAAAAATAGCGATAACAAAACTGATACACATATCGATGACAAAATCGATTAAAATATCGGCAACAAAATCTATAAAAATATCGATAACAAAATCAACAAAAATATCGATCGAAAATATATAAATAGTCGATAATAAAATCGATAACAAAGTCGATAACAAAATCTAATACAAAATCGATAACAAAATCAATAAAAATATCGATAACAAAACCGATAAAAAATATCGATAGCAAAATAGTTAAAAATATTGATCATTATATCGATAACTATAGCCATAGTGAAATCAATAACAGTATCGATAAAAGTTTCGATAACAAAATCGATAAAAATATCGATCACAAAACTAACAAAATATCGATTATTATATCGATGGGTCCCGAGAATCCCGAAAATCCCCAAATAGTTTCCAGATTGAGTCTCTGTGCCTCTATCTATATCCTTTTCTCTAAAACCATTATTTTAATCTTTCTTCCTCTATCTTCATCCATACTTTCATCGGTATCCTCATCCTCATCTTTTTGTTTATATTGATCTTTGCTTTTATTTTCATGTTTATAACATTCTTCATATACATATTCCACTTCACCTTTGCCTTTATATAATCCTTTTCTTTATCTATGTACGTGCTCAACTTTACTTTTATTCTTGGATTGGTCTTTTGCTAAGTGTTGTCTTACTTCAAAAAGTTTTCGCGTATTATGCATACATGTGTTCATACATATATGTATGTACATATATAATATGTATAGACAAATAATTAGAAGAAATCAACCAATACTTCCCATATACCAAACGAAAGGAAAACTTTTGAGTTTTTGATTAAAGAAAACAAAAACAAAATCATTCGAGCGGTTTTCGAGCATTTTACTAATAAAAAAAATTGCAAATTTTTTAAACAATATTTTGCCTTAAGATTACTCAATATTTGTTGAATTTATATAAAATCTGTACACGATAACATTTCTATTGCTCCAAAGGATCTGTATCCCGAAAATGAAGGTTATATCTGCAAATAATAAGCTGCTGGAGCACTTTAACGGCTCAAAATTGACCCCAAAATAGGCAACGTTTACCGTTATTTTTACGACAGAAACCAAATTGGTTACTTACAAAAATGACTCCGTCGATAGGTTTGGAATTTTGTCTTTGAAACTCCACACCTTTCTTTGAAATCACTTCATTAGATCTCCCGCAACAAGCGTTTTCGCGAAGCTCTAAAAATTACAACTACAACAATTCAGAATAGGCTCCATATCGAAATGTAAGACGTATTCTACGTCAAAACATGGAATTTTTTTTTCAATATCACCAGGGCCGTAGTCAAGTTTTTTTCCAACAACAAAAAATATAATCGATAATGACATGAGGCTATTGCCTGAAAATTTTAAAATGCGCATAGTGGCATTACCAAGGCCGAGTAATCATGGTCAACTTATGTACGGTAGTCTAACAAATTATAGCCGCACCAAGTTTTAAAATATTATTTTTGCTGTTATTTAATTTTGGTAAGTTTTTTATAGTTCATTCTTTAAAAACATCCGTATAAATACAAGTTTAAAGGCAGAGTCACACGATGGGGCATCGTATCCCAATTGTGTGAACACCCAAAATATTTTTCTTTATCCCAATCACGAAGATTAATTTGTTGAAATTTTTCAATAGAACATAACTGTATTGTACCAATATTTTGACTAAAGAAAAAAACAGAATTGTCCCATTTTTTACCAATAGCCCAGTATAAAAATGTACAAATCCTTACTTATGTACCAATCGAGTG